AACAATAAATGATGGATGATGGTTAATAGTCCACAGCCATGATCTTGTGTATCAGCAGCCACTTGAATCAAGAAATAAATGTAGATCCCGAATTGAGACTATTAGGCGTATTTGTTGACGACTTAAAATCGTTGAACTTTTCATTAAAAAAAAAAAACCTTGAAAACTAATCCAAAAACATGATTTCTTGCCATTAAAAAAAAAAAAAAGTTCAGAAGGTCCGAAAATATGTTTATTGTTAATTTTCACAATAGGTTTAATTAAAATTGTTAAAAAAACTGTTTTTCTTATTCGGTTTGATTCGAATCACTTTAAAATTCGACTCGATTCGATTCATCCAGGGCCTTACATCCAAATATTCAATTCGAATCTGTGGAGATAAAATATTATGTTATCTATTATTTACATGTATTAAAAAAATTTCATTCGTTAACAATAAAAAAAAATTTTCTTAAAATTATTATTATTATATTCTTATTCTGTGCCACCGATTACTCGTCAATTATCCAGAAAAAAAAATTCAACACCTGATTAATCAATCGGGTAATAATAATAATCGGTGAATAATCGGGCGAATACAACCACCATTCATAACACGTGTTAATTATTTATGCATGCCAAGCAAAGACTTTGGGCTTTTTTAAATTTTAAAATTAATTTGTGGCTGTGGAAAAAAAAAAGTAACAGGTTTTCATAGATCACAAGTTTATAAATAGTCATTTATGTGAATGATAAGCAGAAAACCGCAGAAGTATGTATCAAAAGCAGAAACGTGAAGATTATATCCAAATTGGTCAAATGCTGAATATCTTTATTTTGTAACAGACACGCATATGACATGTGTAACATAATTTAAAAAATTTGCGCGTTTTTTATTTCAGACTTTTCTTAGCGGACTTGGTGTTTAACGGATAAATTTTCGAAATCAAATTTTCCTATAATTATTTTATCCCGATTTAAACGGATTTTTCATGTTAATATTAATATGATCCTTGCTCTTTTTTGCTAGTGATTTTATTATAATAAGATTAAATGCGCATAATAACACGTTATATTATATACATTCCAATGATAATATAAAGATAAATAAATAATTTATAATAATGTGTGAATGTATGATAATAACGTATTTTAATTATAAAGATAAGTAATTAGAAACGTCAAGAAGTTGAAAAGTGAGATTTCTTATAAAATTTCTCAAGAACAAATATAAACAAGTATAAAATATCATTATAATCTTGACATTTTAAGTGAATGAATACATTTTTTTATTATTATTTTTATATAACCAACTGTATCAGAACATATTATTATGATTATTTGTATTCGTTCATTATATTATTTATAACAATAAATAATTGTTCTTTGATATTTTAATTTAGCAGACAAATTTCTTGGAACGAACATATCCGTTGAATCAAGATTCACTCACTGTTATTAAAAAAAATTTATCAATATTATTTATTACGTATTTCGTTTTTACAGGCATTTCATTGAATTTGTTCATAATGTCTAATCCGTTGGCTCTATAGAAATAGGCTAGGGTTTCTATTCGAATAAAACGAATAATATAATAATAATAATATTCCAATCCAATTTAAATTTTTTTCCTTCATAGTCCTTGTAATGATAATAATAATAGTAGTAGCAGAAGTAATTGACATCTTTTCTTTGATCAATTAATAATAATAGTTGTAGTAATTGTCTTTTTCCCTTTTAGTGATAATAATAATAATAATAGTGGTATATCTAGTTTTTTTTCCTACTAGCAAATCGAATAAGAATTATTTGTTTTAGCTACTTTTGATTAAATAAAAAAAAAAATAGCGGAATTGCAAATAAAATAGGCAGAACTGCAGAAATTCATCGTCCTGCTCCTCTCTACAAATGAACCCTTTGCTAAATTTGCCAAAGAAAAGATTACAAATATGGAAACAACTTCAAAAAAAAAGATGAGTTTTGGCAAAAAATAGTGACGCGACAAGTATTTAATAAGCGATATCACGTGATTTTTGTTATTTTTGTTTAAAGGGTAAGCACATCAAACATTCATAGGGATTCTAGAATTCCAACGAAATGGGTATTAATTTATTTTGTCATGTAAAAGAAGCAGTATATTTTTTACAAATGGCATATAAAACATATACAAACAACTACAAAAAATATATATATCACAATCTAATACATACCGATCTATACAAATTTACAAAAATACAAATTACTTCTCATTATATTAATTACCATAAGAAACTAATTAACAGTCAGAACCTTGAGTCAGTTTTTAATTACATAAATTTAAAATGACAAAACGTCTTACTTTAATTGTAAGATCTTTAGGTAAAATAAAGCCACATTCATATTATGGGCTAAATGCAAGAGAATGGAGAGTAGAAGTGAGATACAACTAAATTGATTTACAACCTATTGGAGTCTTTGAAGCATTATAATTAGTAATTTATAATTTGTTATCATAATAATATTGAAGGGTAATATAACAGTTGATTTATAATGAGCAGGCATAAGGTTTTGAATAATGCAATTAGAATTATCATTTCAAATCATCAATTATCTAAAACATATTAAAATTATGTAATAATTAGTAGTGATCTTTTTCTTAATTATTCTAGTTTATATCCCTATAAAAAGTTTAGAATACTTATTTCCTACTTATTTCCTACTTAATTTTTACAAAACATACTTAAATCAAAAAAAGGTGATTCACTAATTATTTGCAAAATATGTATGAATATAATTATTTTACAATTAAAACTTTCTTATTTTTTACAGTAATAGGAATGTAGATATCCTAATTATACACTTAAAATATACCTCTGAATTTTAATAATTCTTAAAACATACTTATTTTCTTGATTTTGTAATTTACTTTGTATATCTTTAAAACATACTTGAATTTGAAATAATAAAATTATTCTTTTTGCATCCAAAGAATTGACCAATCCAATTTCACTTCTGACTGATAAATGAATGTGTATGACTAAATAACTAATGATTTATTTGATTAAATACACAACAAGGGTATTAACATCAAACAAGGTGATGAAGACAGGGAGCAAAATCCTATTATAAAATTCTAGGCATTCTGATAAATTTAGAATGTCCAATAAAAAATTTTGGAATAGGCCATTTTCCAACTACACATTTTTAATATTAATGTTAATACAAATTCTTTATCCGAATTATTCGTTTTAGTTTTATTTGAATTGTCCATTTTATTTGAATTATTCATTTGAATTATTCATTTTGTTTTATTTGTTTATTCATTTTATTCATTTATTTGTTTTATTCGTTTTACTCGAATTATTTGAATTATTCACATTATTCACTTTATTCATTTTATTCGTTTTATTCGTTTGTTCGGTTTTATTCGTTTATTCAAATTATTTGTTTTATTTGTTTATTCAAATTATTCATTTTATTCATTTATTTGTTTATAAATATTAATTCACATCTTGATGCAATAAATTCTATATTAATATTAATATTATTGTTAAGGGATTTAACTATTTGTAATATTATTTTCCTTTAACAAGATAATAATAATTTATATTTATTGCTAATAATATAGTTACTAGTACTATAAATTAAGAAAATGTCAAAATTTATTATTATTTATTGGAATATCCTATATACAGTAAGGTTCTTTTTTTGAAATATACAGTACCCTACCAAAAATGGAAATTTATTCTATAAAAAAGGAAATGGCTCAAATTTTTGTAACATCCTCGTGACAGTTATTTGTATGTGACGATTAAACTTGTGAGGCTTGGGGTGGTAGGAGTTATGGAATGCTTACCAACTCCAAAAATAAATTCTTATTTGTCACATAGGTTCTGTATATTTCATAAAAAGAACCTTTCTGTATATAGGATGACCCTATTTTCTTTATGTACATTTCATTAAAAATATTTTTTATAAATTCATGTTTTTTTTAAAATTATTTGTAGGTATTTAAAAGAATTATCAGCATAGCTGATAACAATGACAATCAAATTAAAATCACACTATGGGGAAAGCATGCTTATAATGATGAACTTGCAATTGGGTCAGTGGCTGTAATGAAATATATACATGTATCCAGTTATAAAGGTTCAAAAATATTTAATAATATTTGATATATGCATACATGTATTTATTTATTTACAAGTGATTAAATTTATATTTTTTTTCCCTAGCTTCAATAATTTTAACATCATCACCATGCACAATAATCCTTATCTCTTAAACGGTCAGAATATTTTTAATGGTAACACAAATTAAAGTTTTGATCATTCTTATTGGTCAATTTAACGATCAGCAAAGTAAAAACAGTCAATCGACCAACTTTTAAAGAAAGTTATATGAAAACCACAAGGACAACACCCGAAAATTTTTTTACAGACCAATCGGCTGAATCTCAAAGATCATTTTCGTATTAGGAAGTTATATGCTTGGAGAAAATTTTTTATATCAGAAAAATTTTATCGGCTATCAATAGCCGATTAACCGTTTAAGGGATAAACCCCCCTTTGTTGCAGGGAACAGAATCAATTCCAGATTGGTATTGCTGAATGTTATATTTATTGGCTAATTGATCAATTGATTGATCATAATTTTGCAATTTTTAAATCAATTAAAAATGTATTTGTATTATTGTTTTTAGGAATTCTAGAAATACAATAAATGATCAATCAATATTGAACTCGATGATAATTTTAAAAACGCTTGGTTTAGCTAAGATAAGCAAAGTTCAAAAAGAAAAAATTTTAAGACATGAACAAAAAGAATCAACATCAGATTGGTATTACTAAATGTTATATTTATCAACTAATTGATCATTATATTTTTATAATTTTTAAATTAATTAAAATGTTCATATTATTGTTTTTAGGAATTTCAGGAATATAGCATGTGGATCTGGGACATCAATTAATTCAGAAATACTTGGTTCAATTAAGCAAAAAGAATCAATTAATTCAGAACAGTTGAAACTCCAAGTTAAAATGCTTGAAGAAAGTAAAAGAACTCTCAAACTTAACTATGATAAAGAATTAAATATATGGGAAGAAAAATTTCATGTACTTTTGAAAAAATATCAACAAATTAAAGAAGATTTCAAAAATTTCAAAAGTGAAAAAGAGAAAGTTGACAATTTAAATAAAGAAGTAATTTCGCATAAGGATGCAGAAGTGAGTAGTATTAAATATATTTTATTTGTATTCATACTGATTAGTTGAATTTTTTTTCACAAATCCTTTTTTTATGGTGCAGATTCATAAATTAAAATCAAAGTTATTGATGCAGACAGCTGAAAATGATTTATTTCAACAACACAACTTCAAATCTGAGACTATCACATCTAATCCTATTGAAACTTCAAATCCTGTTGTGGAAATACCAACAATTGCTGCTAAATCAACAGAAACACCAAGCAATCCTGTAATTTCTAAACCTGAAAAAGCATCTAAAATTCCAGTAAAATTACAAGGTAATGAAAGTCATTTGGAAACATCATCAATTATTTCTGTCAAAAGATCTAGAGAGAGAGAGGAAGAGAAAGAGAAAACAAACCAAACTAAAAGGCAAAAAACACTCACTGAATTTTTCTTTAAAAAAATATAACTTATTGTTATTTACAATATTATATAATAATTATTTGCATTAATTAAATTAAAAAGATTTCATTCTATTTTTTTTTTAACATTGAATTAAATTAAAGTTTTTAATTTTTTAATTATTTATTGATTTTCATTTTTTCCAAGTATTTTGAAGTTTGTAATATAAATAACATTTATGAAGGTCACATTAAAGGGCTGGGAATAGTACTTTAAAAATCTGGATTTCCTTTAATTCCTTTAGTTCTTGATGTTTACGCAGTGCACCATTGAGAAGGTAACTGGCTGGCTTATGAGGAATCTTGTATGCATTGCTGGAGTGATCTTTTTCTTCTGTTTGATCAAAGAAATTATAAGTATGCACCTTTAATTTTTTTTTCTGATGTTTTTTATTGGATGGAGACAAATCATCCAATGTCGAAACTACAGTCGGAACTCGTTAAACCGATGTACTTGTTTTGGGCTCAAAACATCATTTTATCAAATATTCGTTTTATCAAGTAATCTTCGATAAGATGAAGTTAATATACTTTTAAAAAAAAATTCGGTTTAAAAAAGTTATACATCAAAGTTTACATATTCGCCTACACTAAGTTGACGCGCTAGTGAACTTTTATATAAAAAAATGTTACTTCCAACGGAACGAATACTAGAAATTTGTTTTGTTGAAATTTCAATTTTTCTATATATTGAGAAAAATTATGGCTCTTTTTAAAATTACTTAGCCATTCACCTGACGCTTTAAAATCTTGAAAATTTAACAATTCTGCAGAACGTATTACTTATGATTGTAATACAGAACCAGTAATAGTTAAATTTGCTTTAAGCATTTGTGTTGTCCAAAGAATCAATGCATCTTCTAGACCTGAATATTTTCCTTTGCGTAAAGGTTTATTATGTGAATTGGGATCTTCTGGATTAATACCAAGATATTCTAACTTTCGTTTCAATATGTCACAAACAGTATTTTCATGAACTTTAAAACGAATAGCAAGGTCTCTATTCGTTGGAGTAGGTTTCTTTTATTACTATCTATTTTTCATTTTTAATTTTAGGAACATGTAAATCATTTATAAAATTGTACGAAATAAAGCAAAGTTTCCTTCGATAAACCGATATTATTCGTCTTATCGAGTTATAGTTCTATACATGGAACCGTATGAAAACATCGTCTTAAACATTAAAGTGAAACAATAAGAATCTTCGTCTTATCAAGTTGATTTTACTATAAATGAATTGGTAAACTAGAAAAACTTCGTTATAACAAAAATTCGTTTTATCAAGTTACGTCTTATCGAGTTCTGACTGTATTTCGACCATTTGCAGATCTGGTCAAAATAAGGTCAAAACTGATTTTTACTATGTAGTTGCCTCAAGTCAAAACATTTCGACTGGGGTTTTAATTTCGACTTCATATATAATCCAATATTGTTACTAATTATCTCACCTCTTTAAGTGATAATTCTGTAGAAATCACAGCATTATTTGATGATGTACGGCTAAGTTTTTCACTGCACAACAACTGAAAAAGGAGGCACGTTTTATTTTTCAGCATTGAAAGGATAATAGCATAGTGAACACTGTTGCAGATCAACAGTCATTTGTATAATAGGCAGGTGGTTACACAGAGCCTGTTGCTTGAAACTTCACTAGAATATAGCTGTAACCTCTCCAAGTCCAGATCATCAGCAAGATCAAAATTATCTCACACTTTTTATAATCAAACTTTTGCAAGAACTTTCACCATAACATATGTTATGTTGATCATTTTTTTGTGATCTGCAACAGTGTCCACTATGCTAAGGATAATACTTTTCGACAACATTCCATAGATTCTATGAAATATCCATATACACCGAAGCAATTGCATACGCTTTCCCAAAAGTGTGCTTTATTGCTTTTAGATGTGTTTACAAAGATATATCAAGCACGAAATCAGTATCCTTTGATTACTAAAACTTCTAATGATATTAACTCATACAAATTGCCTTCTTTAGCTTAAGAAATAACCGATCGTCCGTCACCTTCCAAAGGCTTTTTTACTTCTAGGAAACCATCTACAAACATTTTTTACAATTACATATATTGTGATTACACTAACTATACTAATTTGAATCATTGTAGTGTATATACTCACATGTGGACATGTAAGGCTCCGAACGAAACGAATTGAAACGAATTGAATTTGAGAGTGATTCGATTCGTTCTGTATTCAATTTGGTTCGATTCGATTCGTGACTCGATTCGAATTGATTCATTCCTAAAATTTTTTTAACGTCATATTAAATTTATATTATACAGTGAGTCTCAATTAGTGTTCCTCAATTTAATGGATTGAGATCTAAGAATGGTTTAATAATAATAAAATTCTTCTTTATATGATATTTATTCGGATTTCTTATATTAATATTAATGGTTGTGTGACCTATAATATAACGAATAAAAAAGTAACACGATTTACAGTTGTACAATTCATTAAATCTAAAATAATAAGTGCTAATATTACCTAGGGGTATGGAGCATAACGGAATGGGTTGGTCACAATGGTTGATCATCAAAAATAATAGCTTACAACTGAGAATGCAATGTGAGCTTTTGCTTTTTCGTGTTGCAAATCATGCATACCGTGCTACGTGAGAACAAAAATTCATTTATTTTAAGTTGGGTTTGGGATTGCGTCTTCGATCAAGATAAAATTCAAGCTTACAAATGCGCACACTACGTTCAAACCATGAAATAATTTGTCGTTATTATTATACAACGTTATTACAGGAGACTGTTCTGGTAACACGAAATTTAACCCACGCAATTGTTGATCGACCAATTAAAATCGTGAATTTAAAATAAAACATTTACATATGGCGGATAGCATGGTGGACATTCATTTGTTCCGCAAAATCATAAATTGTTACACAGAAAAAAATTATATTCTTTTAAATACCTACAAATAATTTTAAAAAAAACATGAATTTATAAAAAATATTTTTAATGAAATGTACATAAAGAAAATAAATACTTTTTTTTTAGTTGAAGCTACATAAACATTGCATGCTGTATCCATTGTTTTAATTATACCAATTAAATCTGTTAAAATAAAACAAATATTAATAAATTATCAAAAATTAAAATATATATTATTTTTAAAAATCAAAAATCATGATTACCAATGTGAGTATCTAATATAAATTCACTTGATTTATTAAAAAATGGAAAAAACTTGAATATTAGAAGACCAACTAAATCATCATTAATAGAATCGTCATCATCACACTAAAAAAATGGAAAAAAATTTTTAAAAAAAAATTAAGGGAGTTTAATAATCCAAAATTTTTATGTTCACATACTTCTCTAACTTTAGTATTATCTTCGAAATAGATCCCATGGTTTTGATGTGATTGATTTTTACTCCAAGCTTCATGTAAATTGTAAAAATAGTATGTCTATTTGAAATTAAATAATTAATAATTGGTGTATATTAATAGAAGATACAACAGGATAGATTCAGTTTAAAAATTCATACTTCGTCTTCATCAAGTTCATTATAAAATCTCTCTGCATAAATATTAAATGCGGTGGCTTTTATCTCCCCCTAATTACATTGATTATGGATTATTTATATTCATTTTAGTAATTAAATATTTTGGAAAGAAATAATAATAGTAACAGTGACAAATTCCAATTAAAATTTTAATCTCTACCGATCTGTCAACTAAAACAATACTAAAAAATTTTCCATTATCTAACTCTCCTTTATCCCAATATATTAGTTCGGATTTAACTGCTATACGTGCTTTAATGGTGAATCTAAATAAGTGATTAAATAAAAAATATATAATTTTAATGGTGTCATAAATTAATATTCTCAATAAACAATTAATGTACATACTGGCTAGTATGTGCAGTGCGAATTTCTTTTATTTCTAAAATCTTTTCACCATTTTCATCTTCGACGGGTTCAAGATGTGCTGAATTTCTATTTAAATTAAGCAATTAGAGTGACGACAAGTGGCGGGCGATAATCACCACCACAATCCTTAAAACACTTACTCATCATTCCTTGTTAAGGCTTGTTTGGTTCTTTTCTGTTGGTTTTGTTGTCTTCGTTGCATTTTATATTTATAGAAAATTATTATTATTACTTTGATCAATAAACGCGATTTACAATTATTATTGGCACTTGGTGTTACACAAAAATTTGTTTTTTGAGGAGACAGACGCGAATTGATTTTTTCTTTTCTTTTGGAAAAACAATTTATTTTTTGACAGAGTCCAAGGTGACAAAACGTGAGTGTTGTTGTTTGGTTTGTTTGGGTCTCCTAAAGAAAACATGTTAATAACTAACCAGAGGTACTTTTTTTTACTTGTATTGATTGATATTTTTTAATTTATTATAAACATTTTAATTGGAAATCAAAACGCGGAGCAGATCATTGTTGGGTAATTACAAGATTTTCATTGATAATATTTTACTTTTTGTAATCAATATTAATAATATTATTATAATCATAAGAAGGTGTCAAGGCAGAATACTGTTACAGAAGTAACATTTTGAATATGCGACGTTTGATTATCAGAAATTGGCAGGTGTTGAAGCACGCATGCTACCTTAAACACTTTACAGTCATTCACACATCTTCCTCATGTACAAAAGGCTAATCTGACTTGCGCCTGATAATACAATGATGCACTGAATTCCAGGGAGGGGGAAAGATGCCCTGGAGTTTACCAAGATTGCATCAATTGTCAATGACACTTTCACTAATCTTCCCAGACCAGAGAAGGCTGCTGACATGCTGGTTGAAAAGTTGCCTGCAATGATCCCACCTCTAGGGTAAGGATGGCTCTGTGGCCAAGCTATCGCAACTCTGGAGGAATATTAAGAGAATCTGCAACTTGTTTCAAGCACAGGGGGTCACAATTCAGAGCAGGGTTTGTGGCCCTGAAATTGCTTTTGGACTCTGATGTTAAGAGCATAACGGAAGTTCTGTTTGTTGATCATTTATTTGACCTCATTACACAATTATTTATATTAATTTTATAATAATCATCATAGTAAAAACTAGTTGGTCATGTGAAAGATTTTAATTTGTGTTAAAAAAAAAATTATTTTTTTTATAAAAATATTCTTTAAAGGTTGTCTTATTTTTTTAGCAAATGTGATCTTATGTGATCTTACTACTTCCAATGCTTATATTATAGACAATTATTTTACAATAAAGACGCTAACAAGTGGTAATAAAATATTTCTTAACAAATTAACTATTGAATTAAGTTTATATATATACTTAAAACATAATCTCTACCAATTCTTTACTTCATTAATAGCTTCCAATAATGTTGACAATAAATTTTCTTGATCACTTACATTTAGATCTGCCTCATTTTCATTATTTTCTTCATCAGGATCATTTGAATTAAAATCGTTGATTTCTTCTGGCGTAAGTTCATCAATTCCTTTATCTAATCTTTTTAAAAATGAACTCACATTTTCAAATATACCTTTTTTATAAAATTGTTCACAATAATCACACCCATGCTTTTGAGCTACATGACATTTCCAATGATAACCATGACCACATGTCAAAGCTTTTCCTTCGAACACATTCAATGGCTTTTGACAATAATCACATACATCATTTTCTGGAATTGATTCTGTACTATAACCAGTTGGTAGACACATTACATTTACTTTAATGTCCAAAGAGGCAAGTTGATATTCTTTTGGAATCTTTGATTTCATTTTGCGTTTTTCACCTGTTTTAATGGTATCTACTGGTATGCTCTTTCCAAGATTATTATAGATTTGGTGAAAATAATTTAATAAAAACAAGCTAGATTTTTCAGTTAAATATTCTAAGGTATGATTACTGTAAGGATATTTTTTAGTTTTCTGAAATGTTTCTTTAAAAATATCCAAATTATGAGAATCTATTTTGAAAAAAAATATTAAATTTTTTTTTTTTTAAAATTAATAGCAATTAAATATGCACTTACTGATAACATATGCATGTTTAATTATATTTTCTGTTGATGAAGTAGGAGATATATTTGCACGTAAACGGCTATGCATGTTCTCTACATAGTAATCATTGAAATTTACAAGGTAATTCTTTATAGCTTCAAAAAAAGGATGCTTAATATCTTTCCAATAAAATACATCTGAGAGAAAAACCAATGGTGCTTTATTATAATTGTGTCTTTTCCAACGGAGAGCAAAGGTCCAAATTCTGAAAATTGATTCTAAGTATTGGTCGAATGAACCTGACTGAAATAGAATAGCATAAACATCAAGAACTGTGGGAACTATATTATCTAAAAGATCAATTATCATTCGATATTCAATGTCTTTGCAAACATCACCAAATTTATTTATCACTTCAGTTCTGATTTTTTTCCACCCACAATTAATTAATTCAAGCAATAAGTTTATGCGCCATGGTTTTGGTTTTTTAGCAAGAACTTTTTTATCACCAAAAACAAAGTGAAAGAATTTTTCAAAAAGAAAATGATATGTTTTAATCACTTGTTCTCTACTGTTTAACGACACATGAAGCGGTCCAATTATAGGCAAAAAATTAACAATTTCTTGAGGGATAGATGGATGGTTTTTGAATAGATATGTTAATGCCTTTCTAATGAATAACTGCCCAGGCCAGTCTGCCACTATTGGTGCAATAACATCTTTTAAATGGCCAACATCATCATTTATTGAGAGAATCATTATCAATCCTTCTACATAATCTTGCATTGAATGCAAATTTTGTTCACGAATTCCAATAAGTTCTACATCTTTCATTGAACGCTCCTCCTTTCTTTCTTCAATAGCATCATCATAACTGTGCAATCTGAGGAGCTCAATCCTTTCAAAATTAATTGGACAGAATCCTTGTGAATTAAGCCACACCAATTTTCTTTCATTGTAAGAAATATCAAAGATGCCATGGTAATCTCTAGTTAAATATAAATAGATATTATGAGCATCTACATTTACAGGATTGTGGACAGATAATCCATTATGCATGATGAATATTGATGGGCAATCTGTAACTTGTTTGCACACACAGGTTGCCATGTGTTTGACAGTAGAAGTTGTTGTTGTATCCGGTCTACGTTTTTCTTTTATCGAATGGAAGTCATCATAATTATATATGTATAAATGGTTTTTCTAATTGAAAGTAGGTAAGATAATTAGTGTAATAGTTAATGTTTTTAATTATTTTGAAATGATCATTACCTTTTCTTGAAAATATTTTCTTATATTAATGTGATGTTCATTTACAATTTTTTTTCTGTAGTTTTCTATAGTTTTAGCACACACAGATATTCCAACGCTTGCCATTGTATCAATTGCTTCCCAGCATGTACCTTTAGCAGCTAAGTACAAACCAATATAAAGTTTATATTCATTTATAAATTTGTTTTTCATTCCCGCAATTTGATAACATAAGCCTACAACTGATTCTTTCGATTCATTCTGGTTATAGGGTGACCTAGTTTTAGGAATTAACGAATCACACATTTCCTTAAAGAACCCTTTCAATTGAGGTTCTTCCTCTGTAATCATGTTGTCAAATCTCAGTGGATTTAATTCAATACTTTTATCTTGTTTCCTCTGGAGATTGTACAATGTTTTTGTTAAAAGATTTATTTTTTCACCGAATCTGTTTTCTTCATTTATAACTAAAATGTTTTGTGTTAATAAGATCAAATTGGAATATAAAAAAAGAATATTTCTATTTTCAATAGGTTTACCAAGTTTGTTTTCTTCATCATTTTTACTTTTTAACTCATCATTTTTATCATAATTTTTCTCATTTGGATCAGTTGTAGGCTTTTTATTTCTGTATCTGCTAATCCTATCTGATGATACAATTGATAGATAATGAGGCAAGCAAATTTGATCACCAACTTTTAAATAATTATACTGGTGAAAAGTTCCATCATTCATTGATTTTTTATATCCAAAATCAGTAAAGTTACGAAAAGTTGTTACTTCAAATTCACAATTTTTCACGCTACAAGGACCATAAAGTTTTTTTGGCATTTTGAACTGAGTTTGCAAAAAATAAAGTTTAATTCCTAAATGTATTTTTTATAAAATATTAATTTTGTGAACAAATTTTATTTACACATATTTTATATCACATTTATTGGAAATATTGTTAACTTAATACTCATTGACCAAGAGTTATAAAATTGTCTTGTAAAGACATTAAAATATTTTTTATTAGATTTAAATACTATTCTTTGTATAAATTTATACATTTAAAATAAATGGTTATTATTTGGAATTGCAAATTTTACTTGAGTTAATTAATTTAATTATTTTACAACACGCGGTATAACTGTATTAATGTCCAATCAAAATTAATAAAATTGGTCGATCATTTTCATATTTTCAACCAATCATAAAGAACTTCCGTTATGCTGGTATTATTATATACAATAAGAATTATCATTAATAGTACGTGCAACAACAATTTGTTTAACCATAGATCTCACAACAGTATTATTATATACAATAAGAATTATCATTAATAGTATGTGTAACAACAATTCGTTTAACCATAGATCTCACAATGGTATTATTATATACAATAAGTGATACACATAGCAATGACTCATTTAACCATAGATCTCACAATGGTATTATTATATACAATAAGTAGTATGCGTAACCATAGATCTCACAATGTTATTATTATATTAATATACAATAAGAATTATCATTAATAGTATGCGTAACAATGATTTAGTTTAATCATAGATCTCATAATTTTATTATTATATACAATAAGAATTATCATTCATAGCAGTAGTATCATTACCTACTACCATCAGTTAATTGATGTTAATTTTTTTTGATGGTCACATAACAATAATTCAACCATAGATTCATTTTAAATATATAGAATGTTAGAAATCCGTATTATTTTAAGTGAATGTATAAAATGAAATAAACTAACAATTCTAATTATATTATTCAAAGATCTTTATTTCTGC